AATGTGAGCATTTTTTAAATTTCATAATAAACATTTCTGTAGCACTGAATTTTCACATTCACAATCTAGCTTGTATTTAGAGCAACTCAGGTAGGTAGGTAATATCACATTTTCCTCCACTGAGCCAGATGAAGAACCGTGTTTGGAGAGCTCAACTATGGTTTCAAACTCTGAAGCCCATTCTTTTTTTTTTTTTTTAACATACCAATTCATGCAATTTCGTTTTTGAAGATGATACATATTTGACTGCTCTTAGTAGGTGTACCTAAAGTATCTTCAGGTCAGTTGGGGAAGAAAACAAAAACAAAAACACTACCAGAACAACAAACATCTACCAGCAATATTATGAGTAAGCCCCAAGAAAAAATATATAATGCAGTCAATTTCTAAAATAATTAGAAAAGGAGAAAGACATCACAACAGTATATTAAAATAGTTTTATTCCAGGAATAATTTTCCCTAATACAAAATGAGTATCTAGACATTTCTTAATTTTAGTTTCTTCTGAAAAAATTATCACAAATAAATAATCACTCAGATAAAAACTAAATAAATAAAATTTCCTTTTCCAGGTACATATAAGTAACAGTCAAGTTATCTATTAGCAGAAAAAAGCTTTTGTTGCTGGTGTTGGAAGATTTGATTTATATTATGGGGGTCTTGAATAAGAATTAAGTACAAAAGTTTTAAATTTCATACCCACTGTAATGATAAAAATATAAGTGAAATACTGTTGCTTTTTAAATCTCTGCCAACAGATAAAGAAGCAATAGTTTTTTCAGGTGATATTTCAAGTATGTATACTGATGTTAAGCTTACTGTTATATTAGATGACAAAGTAAAGAACAGAATTCTAAAAAGTGATCAGTGTTATACAGATTAATTCTATAGAATCTTTTAAGTTTTTATCAACTGATAAATGAGGTCACATGAATAGTTCAACAATTTTTAAAACATTTTATCTTGCCGTGCTGGTATGGCTCAGTGGATTGAGAGTCAACCTGCAAACCAAAAGGTCATCGTTTTGATTCCCAGTCAGGGCACACGCCTGGGTTGGGGGTGTATGAGAGGCAACCAATCAATGTAGCTCTCACACATAAATGTTTCTCCCCATCTCTTTCTCCTTCCTTTCCCATCTCTCTAAAAATAAATAAAATCTTAAAAAAATTTCTTTGTCTCATTAGCAAAACCAGTAGAAAACATCTTAATTCTCATTTGCATTTTCTAAAAAACCTGTAATTTATAAGCCAATTAACATGCATTTTGTTTTCCTTTGATTTATACATTATAATGTTATAAGACTTAACAATACAATTACCTAACAGATTTTTGATAATGAGAAGAGACTAAGCAAAACAAAACAAAACAAAAAAAACAAAAAAAGAGAGAGAGAGACTTTTTCCTTGCTCAACTCTTTAGAAAAAAATGAGGTATTTTTTTATTTTTATTTATCTTTTATTTTTCTTGTTGATACTATTGCAAATGACCCATTCCCCACCGCTGTCTGCCTCTACCCAACCCCGTCCCCTCTCTCCTCCCCAAGCTGTCCAAGCACTTCTGTCTGTGTATTGGGTCATGCATGTATGTTGTTTGGCTAATCCCTTCAACCTTCTTTCATCCAGTCCTTCCTTCCTACCTGCCCTCTGACAGCTGTCAGTCTGTTCCATGCCTCTGTATCTATTTTGTTACTCAGTTTATTTTGTTTATTAGATTCCATATATATAAGAGATCATATGGTATTTGCCTTTCTCTGATGAGTGGATAAAAAATATTTTATGTAAATAAGGGAAAAAACATAATACAGAACACATTAATTGTGGTTTAAAAAAGGAATGATCAGTTCAGTTATATAAGGAAGGGCATGTTATCATCAGCAAAGTTCTATGTTCTGTATGGTCATTAAATAAATATTCTGGGGTATATTTTTTCAAAAGAAATATTCTTTTAAATGTATTATTAACACAAAATTTGGGTTCTACTCTCAATTTTCAAGCTTTTTTTCAAAATATCAAAGCTTTTAGTGAGAAACAGTTGAAATCCCATGTGTGAAGAGATCTCGAGACCCTGTAACTTTGGGCAGAAAAAAAGATATCCTTTTATCTCAATTAGAAAATAGATAAACATTTAAACTTTCTCAGCATACTGCCTATTCTTAACTATTTTCACAATTACATTCATCTGAGTCTTTCCAATCTCTCCAGCAAAAATAAAGGACTACTGATTAAACCATAATTGACTGAAAATGACTGAATGCTATCTCAAAGATATGGAGAGATTTTTAAATCATGTGATATACCTTCACAAGGGGTAGGGTTTGTAAAAATCAAATTAAATTTCAGGAAAAAATGTGTTAACAGAGGACATTTCACATTAAAATAGGGACTAGGCAATTTTTAGTTTCTCTTTACAAAATACATTTTAAACTACTATTCTTTTACTATTTAACCATTAAATCCTAAACAATTTTTAAATGCAATTTTCCAAATGTACATATGGCCCAACTAAATTTACGAGGCACAACTTTTCATAACTGAGTATTATACATTGATAACAAATCTAGGTTTCCCATATTTTTAGATTTTTAAAACCTACTTAGTGGGTCTAAACATAAATATAAAGGAAGAGGTATCTAATGCAACTATCAAATTTTAACTGAGGTTCTTACAGTACTTTTGGTATCTTTATGTTAAATATTTAACTTGAACATTCTTAATCAATACCTTTCAATCTTATAAATAATGATAAAAATAATAAAATAGAATAGGAAAATGTGCCTTGACTATAGGTTGATGTTTAAATTGTCTATTAACAAAAAAAAATATTAATTAATGCAGCTACATAGAGAATATGGATAAATAACAATGTGCATAAAAATATTAATATCAATTTTAATAATAATTTAAGTGAAAAGCCTCCTATTCTCAAAATATATTTCATAACTATCATCAGGTCAAGCTTATCTGAATCAGCAGCTCACATGATCTTTCTCAAATCTCTCAATGAACTTTTCAGTAACTCAAGAAACATAGGGAGGGAGCTGCCCCAGCTGTCGTAGCTCAGTTGGTTGGAGTGACACCCTATAAACCAAAAAGTCTCAGGTTCAATCCCTGGTCAGGGTACATGCTTGGGTTGCAGGTTCAGTCCCCAATCTGGCCACATACAAGAGGCAACGAATTGATGTTTCTCTTTCACATTGATGTTTCTTTCCTTCTCTTCCTCCCTTCCCTTCTCTCTAAAATCAATTTAACAGAAAGAAGAAGCTCAAATCATCTAATTTGGGGGACTGTATGGAGAATTATTTTAAGTGCTAAGACCTGTGCTTTAAAATAGGGGAGCCACTAGACACTGGTGGCTAGTGAACACTTGAAATGAGGTTAGTGCAACTGAGAAATTAATTTTTTTTAAGATTTTATTTATTTATTTTTAGAGGGGAAAGGAAAAAGGGAGAGAAGCATCAATGTGTGGTGGTCTATCGTGCACCCCCTACTGGGGACCTGGCACGCAACCCAGATATGTGCCCTGCTTGGGAATTGAACTGGTGAAATTTCAGTTCACAGGCCAGCACTCAGTCCACTAAGCCATACCAGCCAGGGCCTGAGAAACTAAATGTTTTATTTTATTTGATTACATTAGTAAATTTAAATTTTAAAACTACTGCTCAATTTAGTAACTAAAACTTTTCATTATGTTTGCAAAAACTTGGATATGTACTTATAAACTAAAAACTTAGCTAAATCTAAATATAGATCAAGAATTTCCATTGAAAAAATACCATATTTACAAGACACAATATGAAAGAATAAAAATATTTCTAACAAATTTTACATTGATTCCATGTTAAAATATTTTGATATACTGGATCAAATAGAATGCATCATTATTAAAATTTATTCATCTATTTTCCTTTGACTTTTTTAACAATATCTATAAAATCAAAACTTTTAAAAATCAGGTTCTTTACAGTAAAATTTACATGCAATAAAATTCACTCTTTTACATATACAGCTCTATAAATGATGACAGATATATACAGTCACGTAACCACCACCATAATCAGGACATAATACATTTTCATCACCCCTTCTGCAACTGATTCACAACTCCTACCTGTAAACCATGACAACTCTGTTTTCTGTCCCTATAGTTTTGCTGTTTTCAGAATGTCATAAAAATGGAATAATATAGTTATGTAGATTTTTGAGTCCAGAAAAATCAAATTTTAAATACCACATCACTCTATGCTGCTAATGGATTTTTACCATTCTAATATTTCCTTTCTTTGTATTATGAGCATTTTGCCAAGGCCTATTTTTTTGTTATTCCATTTTCAAAACTGAGCTTTCTTCCTTGTCACTGTTATAATAATGTATTCATACTTCTAGAATAAAACTAAGCAGATTGCATTATAGTTATTTATATGCAGGCCCTTCCTCCCACTAGATTGTAAGCCAGAAGCCCAGCCTCTAGAACTACTATGCTTTCCACAGGATTAACTCTCTAGTGAAATCAACAATGCAGGTAACAAAACTGAGTATTTTCCTTTGTGTTATAAAAAAGAAGAGAGGAAAAATAAATGAAGGGTTGAATAAGTTTACCCTCTAGATTAGATATCAACTTTTATTGAGGTCTCATAAAAATATATTAGACTATACAGAATCTAAGAACTACAATGCCATGTAACCAAGTGCGATGTCAGTAGAGATTTCAGGCTGCTTTTGGTTTTTTCAGGGCTTGCTAACAAAGTTGAGTAAATTTGGAGTAGTCTAACACTATTTTTCTTGTAAACACTTATTTCTGGTACATGACTTTACAGAACATAATGTTTTGCAGAAACACATATATGACAGCAGAAACACCTGTACTACAAGAAGGTAAAGACAATAAATTCTACAGCTCTATCTGAAAAGTGGGATTTTGTAACCATTTATTTTCCTATCATCAAATATATAAAATACAATAAGTCTATGTTTTAAATAGATTAATAAAATGTTGATACTTACTGAAGTCTCCAGTAAGAAAAACTCCTTCTGCTCCAGGAGCCCATTCTTTGCAGTACAAACCACCATCAGCACATCTGTGGACCCCAAATGATTCATAACCTCTGGAAAACTTATTGATACCTCCTTCGTTCTCTCCAATATTGTTCAAAGTCTGGGTAAACCGCTTATACCTTGGAAAAGTGCAAAAGAAGGAAGTTACAAAATTAAATTATCTTCCAGAAAAAGCTACTGTAATTAAGTAACTGCTTTCCTCTTATTCAGAGAAAGAATAAAGAAAAAAAAAGATATCATAAAAAGGACTAATGTGGATAATTTCATTAATTGGTTGAGGTTACCTGGTAGGTAAAATCATTTATTTATTTGTTTATTTATTTATTTATTTATTTTTGGTTAAGAGAAAGGGAAGAGGGGGAGAAAGAGAGAGAAAGAAACACTGATGCCTCTCTCATGCCCCCAACCAGGGACCTGGCCTGCAACCCAGGCGTGTGTCTTGACTGAGAATCCCGTTGAACCTTGGGGTTCTCAGGCCAGCATTCAATCCACTTAGCCACAACAGCTAGGGCCATTAATATCTTAAATATTAACTATTCCACTAACATTTCTTTGACAATTTCACACACTTTAGTATGAGAGAAAATATAATGTTTATTTTATTCCATGAAATTTTAAAATCAGCATTATGGCAACTCCTATGTCAAGGTAGTATAATAAAGGACCATGCTATCTGTATCGGTCACCTCTAACCCCTAATAAAATGAAAGAAAAATAGCCAAAAACCAGCACGAAAAATAAAACTACCCTACAACAGTGTTTGGCAAACTTTTCCTGCTAAGCCTGAATATTTTAGGCTTTCCCAGTCACATAGAGGTATCTGTTAACAACTCAACAGTGTATCAGAAGCAGGAAGGTGATCAAAGGCAATGTGTAAATGAATGGGTGTGGCTGTATCCTAATAAAGCTTTATTTACAAAACCAGGTGGCAAGACAGAATTTGGCATGTGGGCTGTAATTTGCCAGGCCCTGCCTTTAGCAGCTAAGCATGGAAAGAACATAGATCATGTTGAACTACAAAGGCTACATTCAGGACTGGTTAAAAAAAAAGAAAGAAAAACAAAACCATTAATTGCTGTTTTCACTAATACGCCCCTAAATCTGGGGAGAAGCTAACTAAAACAAAACTTGTAACTTGCAAAATTAGAGAAATGAAGCATGTGGCTGTAGCTCTGTCAGAAGTGAGGGTTCCAGAACTATACAATGAATTGAGCAATGCCAATAAGCTTCTCCCGGCATTTCCCCTTACTCTGATGGGTAAGCAATAAAAGTCCCAGAAAGGTAATAATCCACATAGGGCATATAGAGGGTATTTATAAAATTTGAGAAGCTAACTAATGAACACCTAAATTGAGCTGATCAGTAAAAGAAGCTTTCTACGAATCTTTCACAGTATACTTCAAATTAATTAAAAATAAATTCCATAAAAATAAGAGTGAAAAGATTAAATGACAAAACAATAGAATGAGAGGTAAAATTGGACTACAAACCTAAGGAAACAAAAGGAGAAACAAAATATATCACTAGGAAATAATAAATGAATTAGAATTGGCAAAGAACAAGGTACACATATAACAAATATAGCCTATTAGTTAAGTGAATAAATTGAAAATTGATATAATTAAGTGAAGAAGAAAAAAGACCAAGAAATTGAATATAGTAAAAGGAAGCTAAGAGAAATGCAAAAAAATCACCAAAAAAATCCAAGAAAAGGACAGCTGGTGACCCTTAAGAACAAAACTAAATAAAGTGAATATAAAAGATATGAAAACTAGAACTTTTTTTCTTAAGTAAAGAATTAAGTTTGTATATTAAAAAAGAGATCACTGAGTTACCAAAAAAAAAAAAAAAAATCAAAACAAACACACATGAACATCTCCAGGTTTAGGCTACTGAAACTCAAAGGATAAAGAAATAATTCCACACACAACCAAGTATAAAAAAAGTGAGGAGAAAGGGGCATTTTTCCCCAAAGAAACATTATATTAAAGACCAAAAACCAACACAATTCTGAGAAGGAAAAGTAGTAGTCTAAATTTAAATGAGACGAATTCCTATTCCAACATAAAACTTATTTAAATATCATCAAATTTAAAATAATTTTAAGTCCATGATAGTAATGAACCATTCTTGAAGGGAAAAAACCCCCTTCTTTCCATTAAGAAAACACTCCCTCCCTCCCTCCCTGCTTCTCTCTTTCTCTCTCCTACATACACACTTATCTTCCTTACCTCTTTCTTTCCTCAAGGAGGATGCCTTTGCTTTCTTTCTCCTCAGCTCCAAGGGCCCTCTTTTGCCTTTGTCACTGTTTCCTAAACCCATGCAGCCCAGCTGGCTCACTTTTTCTACCTTTGTGATTTTCTAAATAAATTTTCTATTTCAGTTTGAGTTTCTTCGCTCTGAATTCTTTCCCGCCAAAATCAAGTACCAAGGTTGCTGAGCTGAATTCCAAAATATGGTGCCGTTTCACTATTATCACTTCACAGTTATTTTAAAAAAATTTAATTGCAAATTAAATTTAACAAGCAATTATTTTGTTCATGTTTCATTATATTATTTCTGTCTATTAAGCTATTTCTCTATTCTTTTCGAACATAAAAGCATATAACAATATCAAGAATTATGTTTTCCAAAAATCACTGAGGATTTTTCTGGTGGTCTTTCTTTTTACTTTTTCCCTTGCATTGTTCTAATTACTTATAACAAATAAGTAATATATGAACAAAAATTAAGAAATGTTTTTTTCTGCCCTGGCTGGTGTGGCTCAGTGGATTGAGTGCTGGCCTGTGAACCAAAGGGTTACCAGTTCGATTCCTAGTCAGGGCACATGCCCCGGTCCCCAGTAGGGGGCACACGAGAAGGAACCACACCGTGATGTTTCTCTCCCTTTTTCTCTCTCCCTCCTCCTCTCTAAAAATGAATGCATAAAATCTTTAAAAAAATTTTTTTTTTAAATGTTTTTCTGAAACTATCATTCTTAACCATTAAAATACCTACAGAATCCTATGCAATATTCTATATGAAATTTACTGGGTATATAAAACAGTGTTTATAAAATTTGAGGAAATAAAATAGATCTATGAAACAAATCTGAGTTCCTGAAATAGTCTTAAGCATATACAGAAATTAAATACATGATAGAAGGACTATCAGTTATGAAAGGACTGTTTATCCAAATAAATATTAAAGCCTGTAAGTTAATTGCAAAACATAGATCTCTAAATATAAGAATAACTTCCAGAGACCAAAGTTATAAAAATTAAGTTAAAAATAAATAAAACCAAGAGTTCTCTGAAAACTAAATACAAATGTCCAGTAAAATATGTGCAAAAATGCTCAAATCCATATGTAACTAAATAAATGCAAACCTAAACTTCAAAATTCTACTTTCTACCTAAAACACTAATAAACACATGATAATCTGTGTGGATAAAGTGCACTGCAGGAAAAAAAAATTTTCAAATACTCTTTAATGAAATAATAATTAGAGAATAATTTGGTATCAGCTATGAAAATTTCAAAATCACACTCTTCAACTAAGTAACTCCATTGTTAGAAATTCACCTTTTGCATATATTGCATAAGGAAGTAAAGACATCCATATGTATAAGGATAAACTTTATAACATTATTTATAACAGGAAACTATGAATAATAATCGAGCTGTTCAACATGGAAGACTGGTTGAACTGTGGAACACCCAAACAGCAAATTACCCAGAGCCATTAAGAAGATGAGGTATAGTGATACGTGTTAATAGGGAAATACGCCCAGTACAAACTGTTTAGAAAAAGAAGCTGCAGAGCAATTTTTCACAAAGCATATAATTGTATAAAGAAAATAAAGATATAATTATGATTGGCATGTGAATCCATTTTCATAGGACCCCATGCTGGGCACCTGGAAATCTCAATGGCCTGGGGCTGACAGGGGTTGCAGGCCTCCCTAGAACCACCACGTGCACCCTTTTTGCATGATGAGTTTGCTGTATCCTCAGGGAATGGCAAGCCACAAAAGCCAATCAGTAGAGTACAGCAGCTTATGGGAGTGGTAAGTGTGAGCAGAGTATTTCACATATGACCCCTTTTTGTATATGTATGTAACAAATACAGACAAACACACACATGCACATCCATGGTTTTAAAAAATGCAAATTATATTCAATCTATTATTTGAAACAAATTAAATGAAATGGCATAATCTCAGTCTCATTGACAGTCCATATTCCATGGGACACAGGAGCCAGGCAGGTATCAAAAATATGAAAAGCTGTCCACACACACACACAGACAAAAGTGAGAGCCTGATAACAAAAACATATGACCAATGGGGTTGGCCTCAGAGTATGGGAAACAATGCAGAAAGGGACCCGGGTGATTTGGAGAGTAGAGACCCCAAGGAGAAGCAACAAGTTCTGTTTAACAGCTACAACCTATTGTTATCAAACATGCAGTGCCAAATCAGATAATTATTCAAGAACCAAAGAAATTTCAGAACTTTCTTTGAGCTCACTCTAATTTAAACAGTGGCAACTGTTTCAATATACTTAAAATATTGAATTGGACCAAAAACCTGATCTACAGATGTAATGAAATAATAGTAGGCAAACTCTCTCATACTCTCTTTAAGTCCTATAAAAGTTTTATTTTTACTCCCTACAGATATCACTCAGCTATAACTCTTGGTATGTGGAGGAAACTCTAATCTATTAAACCATGTAAGTAGTAATATTCAAAAGTTATTTGGACCTCAGGTAAAAAAAATAAAAATAAAATAAATATATATATATCATTGTAATACAAGAAAAATAACTGATTAAAAAACATAAACTTTGGAAGTTTAAATAAATGCGATAATAATTTTATTGTCAATGTGGGTTTAATATCTTAAAAACACATTTTTTACACTTGAGGTTTAAATTTGTTTAAATACTAATTTTTAAACAGTCTCACAAGATACATACAAATATCCCATCTATAATTCAAAAGAAACAGGATTATAGCATTATATTACTTTAACGAAATATCTTGACTTCCCTGAAGGTCAGCCTTTTAGCTTCTGATACAGAAATACACATTAGACTTTGAATCACTGGTTCCAAAAAAAAAAAATGCCTGAGG